TCACAGAGATGTTAAAACTATCTTCAAGCAGCTGAGTCAGTTTCTTGGTGTGGGTCACTGGTCCAGGTGGTGTCGCTTGGACTGCTAACATTCTAAATCTGGAAAATATCTCAAAGTTCTTTAGGTTTCATAATACTGATTTTTTTTTTTTTTTTTTTTTTAGGTGGAGTCTTGCTCTGTCTCTCAGGCTTAAGTGCAGTGGAGCAATCTTGGCTCTCTGCAACCTCCATTTCCTGGGTTCAAGCGATTCTCCTGTCTCAGCCTCCTGAGTAGCTGGGATTACAGGCATGTGTCACCATGGCCAGCGAATTTTTTTGCATTTTTAGGGAGATGGGGTTTCACCATGTTGGCCAGGCTGGTCTCAAACTCCTGACCTCCAGTGATCCACCTGCCTTGGCCTCCCAAAATGCTGGGATTACAGGTGTGAGCCATCGTGCCCAGCCTTTATATGAGCAGTTGGAGAAGTTAGAAAACTTGCCGTTTCCGGCTATGTAAGTCCAGGGTAGTAAGCACTATAGCAAAGCAAGCTAAGTGAGCAATGGCAGGTCACTGTTTATGCCCATTCTTTAGCAAAGCTCAGGCCCCATCACGATTCTAACCTTGTCTTATGAATGTGTTTTCAATCTCTGAACAAGGAGGGAGTCACTTTTCCTTGCCTTTAATTATAAACTAAATTCCTGGCAGGGCATGGTGGCTCACGCCTGTAATCCAAGCACTTTGGAGGCCAAGGTGGGCGTATCACCTGAGGTCAGGAGTTCAAGCCCAGCCTGACCAACATGGTGAAATCCCGTCTTTATATATATATATATATATATATGAGAAGAAGAAGAAAAAAACTAAATTCCTCTCATAGTTATGTTGGCCTCTGCACTACAAGAAGTTAAAAAGAAAAAGAAAATAACAAACAAGCAGCCAACCAATATTTCATTGAAACGTGTAAATAGATGTGATGTGGTACTGATAAGAGTGTGTATTTTGTGTATTTAAAGTGGAGAGTTCTATAAATGTTAATTAAGTTTATTTGTTCCGGATCTGAGTTCAAATCCTGGATATCGTTGTTAATTTTCTGTCTCATTGATCTGTCTAATATTGATGTTGAAGTCTCCCACTATTGTTGTGTGGGAGTCTAAGTCTCTTTATAAGTCTTATATATCTGGGTATTCCTGTATTGGGTGCGTACATATTTAGGATCTTTAGCTCTTCTTGTTGCAGTGATACTTTTATCATTATGTAATATCCTTCTTTGCTTCTTTTGATCTTTGTTGCTTTAAAGCAACTCCTGCTTTTTAGTTATTTATTTATTTTTGCTCTCCATTTGGTTGGTAAATCTTTCTCCATCCCTTTGTTTTGAGTCTTTGTGTATCCTTGCATGTGAGATGGGTCTGGATGCAGCATACCGATGGGTTTCGGCTTTTTTTGCCTGTCTGTGTCTTTGGATTGGGGATTTAGTCGATTTAAATTCAGAATTAATAATAATATATATGAGTTTAATACTGCCATTTAATGTTAGCTGGCTGTTTTGCCTATTAGTTGATGTAAATTCTTGACTATGTTGATGCTCTTTACTTTTTGGTATTTTTTAGAAAGGCTGATACTGGTTGTTCCTTTCTATGTGTAGTGGTTCTTTCAGAAGCTCTTGTAAAGAGCTGGTGGTGATGAAATCTGAGTGCTTGCTTGTTCACAAAAGATTTTATTTTTCCTTCGCTTATGAAGCTTAGTTTGGCTGGATGTAAAATTCTGGGTTGAAAGTTCTTTTCTTTAAGGATGTTGAATATCGGCCCCCACTCTATTCTGGCTTGTAGGGTTTCTGCTGAGATATCTGCTGTGAGTCTGATGGGCTTCCCTTTATGGGTAACCTGACCTTTCTCTCTGGCTGCCCTCAGTATTTTCTCCTTCATTTCAGCCCTGGTGAATCTGGCGATTATGTGCCTTGAGGTTGGTCTTCTTGAGGAATATCTTTGTGGTGTTCTCTGTATTACCTGGAGTTGAATATTGTCCTGCCTTGCTAGGTTGGGAAAGTTTTCCTGAATAATATCCTGAAGCGTATTTCCAGCTTGGATTGATTCTCTTCGTCACATTCAGGTACACCTATCAAGCGTAGATTAGGTCTTTTCACATAGTCCCATATTTCTTGGAGACTTTGCTCGTTCCTTTTTATCCTTTTTTCTCTAATCTTGTCATCTTGTTTTATTTCATTAAGTTGATCTTCGAATTCTGATATCTTTTCTTCTGCTTGATCGATTCGGCTGTAAAACTTGTGCATAGTTCGTGAAGTTCTCGTGTTGTTTTTTTCAGCTCCATTAATTCACTTATATTCCTCTCTAAATTGTGTATCCTTGTTAACATTTCGTCAAACCTTTTTTCAAAGTTCTTAGTTTCTTTGCATTGGGTTAGAACAAGTTCTTTTAATTCACAGAAGTTTCTTATCATCCACCTTTTGAAGCCTGCTTCTGTTAATGGAACACACTCGTTCTCCATCAGGCCTTGTTCCGTTGCTGATGAGGAACTGTGATCCCCTGTAGAGGGAGAGGCGTTCTGATTTTTGGTATTCTTTGTTATTTTATTTATTTATTTATTTATTTATTTATTTTTTCATGTCTTTATTATTAAGCACAATTATAGGCATACCCATTTTTACACTGCATTCTACCCTGGGCAATAAAGTAATACCCCCATTCTCTCTCCCTCTTCCTCTTTCTTCCTCTCCTTTATTTTTTTTTTTTTATTATTCTTTTTTTTTCTTTCTTTCTTTTTCTTTTTTTTTAGAAAAAAAAAAGAAGAAGAAAGAAAGAAAAAAAAAGCAATTTAGCCTGTGAGGTTAGAAGTAAGAGGGAGTCAGTCATGTTAGATTTCTCTTATGACTTATAATTCTGCAAAGGCAGTTTCACCTCCACAGCAGGCCACCTCTCCCTGGGTACAGGGCCCATCTTCCTCCTGCATAGCAGGCAAGTCCCTCTCTCCACCTCCTCACCCGATTTTGCCCCCTCTGACCCATTTCATGACTCTTTCGACCCTATGTTGTCCTAGCAGACACTGCAGCAACCACTCAGAAGGCCTGGCTGATTTCTAAGTCAGGTGGTTTCTTCCAGTGTCAGTTGGATGCAATTCCTTGCACAAATATTTTTGCACAGTTGCCCAGTGTTTTAGTTATCCAGCTCTGACAGACTATTTAAAACTGCCTCTGCCTTCCCGGGAGAGAACAAGGGCACCAAGGGGTGCCCAGTCGCTCTGGCCAGACAGAGGACATTGAGAGGAATGGAAATGGTTTTAGGTGATAGACGGCTAGAGGAGTCTGCCCGGGGATATTCCAGCAGAGCCTCCTCCTTGAGGAGGGTAGAAGCCAGATCCACAGATGAAGAACTTGGGCTCTGACCCTAAGAGCCTGCCCATCCCTGCTGGCACAAGGGGAGGGTGGGGAGAGAGGGACCACATGCAGGCCTCCTGGCTTCTGTGAGTGGGTTCTGAGGCCCAGGAAGCTCTACAGACCTGGAGGTAGATAAATTAGGAGGCTGGGAGATGCCATGTGCTCTGTTCCCCTCAGCCCTGTGCTGTGAGTGCGCAGATGGGCAAGAGCCAGCCCACTAAAGATGTCAGAGAGGGGCCAAATAAAAAGGATAGGTGCTCAGGGTGTGTGGGTCTCAAGACTGAGGACCATGGGGCAGTGATGAGGAGAGGCATGAGAAAGAGGGTTGCATCTGATCTGGCCTGTCCCATCGGTTAGGCTGAGCAGTGCCACACTACTGTAACAGAGATTACAAACGGGGTACATCTAAATAAGATAGACGGAAGACTTGACATTGTCAACACATCAGTTTTTCCCAGCTTTATCTATAGAGTCAATGCAATCCCAATCTTGGAAAAGGAATTGCTGGATCAATGTGTATGATATTGTTTTCATTTTGTTGGATGTGGTTGCCACATTGGCTTCCAGAGTCCATCCTACAGATTGCAAATTCCCTCACAGCTTCAACATGTGTGATCAAGTTTTTTGAACGTTTGATAAACCTACAGCTGAAGACACTCTCGTTTAGGTATTCTGTAACAACTGGACAAGGTTGGCACTCTGTTCATAAATTAATTGACCAGGATTTCTTCTGAGAATCATCTATTTGAGTTTCTTTGCTAATTTTTCTATTAGATTATTGTCTTTTTCTTATCTATGGACAATTTGATAAGATTATTATGATTACAAGATCTTAATTCCAAAATATGTCACACTTTATCCCCATGGTTTATCTTTTGACTTTAATCACATTTAAAATTTGTCTGTAGTCCAGTTTACCATTCCTTTAGAGTTTTCAAGTTTATTGTGATACTTAGATCATAAAAACATTCACTGACTTTTTTCCAGTACATTTTTGGTTTCCTTTTTAAATGGAAATGTTTGACCCATCTGGAATTTATTTTGGTGTTAAGGAATGAGGAAGGGCACCAACTTCTATTTTTCCAAATGGCCCGCCAGTTGTCCTAATGCCATTCGACTGAAAAATCTTCCCGCGTGTTTGAAGACACCGCCCCACCAGCGCATTGGAAACCCGCGTGTCCGTCCCGCGGCCGCCGGCTTCCGTGTGACAGTCCCGAGCGCAGAGGGACCGGGTAGGGCCCGAACGCGCGCGACCCGAGCCGCCAGCTCAACCCTAGACCCACCCCCCGCGCCGAGGACGCAGCCCGCCCCGCCCCGCCCGGGCGTAGGTCCCAGTCCACCCCGCAGAGGCAGAGGACGCCCCCTTGACCCCGCCTCCTCCACCCTCTTCAACACCCTCCCGGCCCCTCTCCAGCCCCGCCTCCTCTCCTGGAAGCCCGTGGGGCTGAGCAACGCTTTCGGAGGGAGTAATTTAAATAAAAGGCGTGTCCTATGCTGTTATTTGCATGGAGGCGGGGCTTCCGGAGCTGCCGGGACACCCAATCCTGTAGGAGCCCGGACCCTCCCCAGCGCTCCGATTGGCCCAGGTCGCGAGTCCCACGGAGAGGCCTCATTTGCATAGGGCGGGGTCACGTCCTCTTCCAGCGGGCGCCCGCTCGCCCGCTTCCGCCAGTCTCACTGTGGTTTCTTTCCGTCTTCCTCCGTATTTTCCTCTGCGTTGGTGCTGCGCTGCCGGCGGCTGTGGTCCCGATGCTCCCCAAACGGCGGCGAGCGCGGGTCGGGTCCCCTAGCGGCGATGCCGCTTTCTCCACACTTCCTTCCACGCGCTTCCCCGGCGTCGCCGTCTACCTGGTCGAGCCTCACATGGGTCGCAGCCGCCGGGCCTTCCTCACACGCTTGGCGCGCTCCAAAGGCTTCCGCGTCCTCGACTCCTGCAGGTGCGGGGGGGCGCTGCGCAGCGAGGTCTTCCGTGGGCAGCCCTGTCGCGGGGCGCGGGAGGTGTGCGTTCAGGGTGCGGAGCCGCAGTAGATGACTTCGCGGCGACCCTGGAGTGAGGCTGGCCACTTTACTCTCGCCTGGCCCGGAAGGCCTCTTGGCAGCAGAGGATATTGAGATCGCAAATTGGAAATGACTTGCACCCAGCTGCCGGGGGCAGCGGCACCTGCGGTTTTGGATTTTTTTTTTTTTTTTTTTAATGAGACAGTTGCCCAGGCTGGAGTGCAGTGGCGGGCTCTCGGCTCACTGCAACCTCCGGCTCCCGGTTCAAGCGATTCGCCTGCCGCAGCCTCCCGAGTAGCAGGGATTACAGGCATGCGCCTCACGCCCATCGGCTAATTTTGTGTTTTTAGTAGAGACGGGGTTTCTAACTCAGGCTGGTCTCGAACCCCTGACCTCAGGTGATCCGCCCGCCTTAGCCTCTCAAAGTGCTTCCCCAGCGTCTCACAGGCATGTCACCACTCCCCGCCTGGTTTGGATTTTAAGTTTGCTGTGGTACTTCGTGATGTGTGACCTTTCCCTGGGCCTCTATCTCCTCTTCTGTAGAGTGCTATTAATTAGGGCCAGAAGTGTTTTAAAGGATCACTTCGAGAATCAAAACCAGAGGTCAGGAGTAATTAATAAGCAGTTGTATTTACTAACGGCCCTTCTGCCTGGGCCAAGTCCCACCTGTGAGCAAGACTGCTCGGAAGACCCGGAGACCTCTGGCTCCTCTGTCCTCAGGCCTGAGTAGGGAGGGAACCAAGAAGAGAAAAAACGGCGGCTATAGAGACAACACCCAGAGCAAGGGAGTTGGGGGTGGCCCCTAGTTTGGAGGTTGAGAGCGCAAACAAACTCAGAGTTAGTATACCCCTACAGTTGTGTTTGGTTTTTTAATGTTATTCGGGATCAGTAGTGCACCGTCAGACCCACTTAGGAGAGGATGATGACAGCAGCTTAGTGTAGGAGGCACTATCTTTGTACCAAACAACCCCACAGGGTTAATATTATCTCTGCTTTACAGAAGAGGAAATCAAAGTATTGATACGTGGCTTGCCCAAGAGCGAAACAAGTATGTGGCAGAGCTGGGGTTCAGACCCAGTCAGGTTCCTGCATCTCTGCTGAAACCCCTGCCCTTAGATGAAGACCACCTGGTCCTGACCCCTAAGGAATTCCTTTCTCTGAGGTGGAGAAGGAGAGAGAGAGCACAAGATTGGGCTGTGCTTGTGAGGGTAGCCAAGGCAGAGAACTACAGTTCTGAGGGCTGAGTGGCGGTTGTGTTCATCTAACGGGAGGACGGGCTGTTTGCAGGATGAATGGGCACTCACCATGCAAGAATGAAGCCTTGGAGGTACAGAGCCAACCAGAGAGGGCTCTGGGCCTCACCCTCCTCCTCCTCTTCCTTTTCCCTTTTCTTCCTCTTCTCCCTTCCCCCCTCCCTCCACTAGCTCCGAAGTGACACATGTTGTGATGGAACAGACCTCAGCAGAGGAGGCCATCAGCTGGCAGGAACGCAGGATGGCAGCTGCTCCCCCAGGTTGTAGCCCCCCAGCTCTGCTGGACATAAGCTGGTTCACAGAGAGCCTGGCAGCTGGGCAGCCTGTACCTGTGGAGTGCCGGCACCGCCTGGAGGTGAGCTAGATGGAAGACTAGAGTTGGGGCTACAGTGAAGGCCCCAGTGTAGACTGTTACTCAGCTGGGACAGGTGACATGGCAGCACTGCCTCAATGTCCTTCAGAGGAGGTGGGCAGTGAGGACTCTACCCAGATCACCAGGGGTCACCTGGAAGCCAGTAGAGGAACCACAGCAGGGGCTTAGGGAGCCAGGCCATCCCAGCTTCTGTTCTCACGACTGGTGCAAATTCTGGGGTCCCCTTATTTTTACCTTCTTCAGGCCTTTCTTCCTCACCAGGTAGATGACATGGCAACTCTGAGGAGGATGACCCATGGATCAGCAGGAGCCTGTCCTCAGGATGCTGTAAGGCTCCCGGCCTCTGACAGATGTGGGCTCAGGGCCAGGTTGCCTGTGTTTAAATCCTGGCCCATGCTGTGAGCCACAGTCATGGGACAAGCTCCTTAGCCTCCAAGGCCTCAGCATCCCTAGCCCACTTGGTTGTGAGGATTGGGGCGATGGAGCACATGTGTCATGTGCAGCAGCAGGAGAAGTGCCCAAAGAGCTGGCAGATATGACTGCTGCTACCCTGCTGTGAGGAGCCCTGTCCACAGCCTATTCTACAGGGTGGCACCTCCCTTGGCCCCATGCCTCTAGTGTTTTTTTGCCCACCTCTGTCCCTTGAGCTCCAGAGGGCCTGAGTTGGACACCCCAGGAGAAGCAAGGCCCGGGTACGGCCCGGCTCTCCTGCCAGCCCTGCGCCTCACGGCAACCTGTTTATTGCACATCCCCAGGTGGCCAGGCCCGGGAAGGGGCCTCCAAGCCCAGCATGGATACCTACCTATGCCTGCCAGCGCTCCACGCCCCTCACACACCACAATACTAGCCTCACAGTGAGCTACTTCTGAGCCTTGGCCAGCCCTGGGGGTTGGGGATGAGGGTACAGATGGGTGGTAGCTGGCTGGTTGGAGGTGCCCACCCTGCCCCTTACCTAGGTCCCATCCCTGCAGGAGGCTCTGGAGACACTGGCAGAGGCGGCGGGCTTTGAAGGCAGTGAGGGCCGCCACCTCGCCTTCTGCAGAGCAGCCTCGGTGCTCAAAGCCCTTCCCAGCCCTGTCACAACACTGAGCCAGCTGCAGGGGCTGCCCCAGCTTGGAGAACACTCCTCTAGGGTTGTCCAGGTAGGTGCTTGCCAACCTGAGCAGGGTAAGTGGGTGGGTGGGGAGGCCTTGGGGCCTGGTGAGACAGCAGAGGGTGCTGTGGGGGCAGGTGGGGACAGACAGACATGGGTACTGGCACTGCTCTAAGGCCTCAACAGGCCACCCTCTGTGCTCAGAATCCTCCTGTGCACACCAGCCATTTACCCCTGGGTGGCTGAGAGGACCCAGTGAATGGCACTGCAAGGGGCCTGGCAGGGCTAGGGGTGACACTGTTGTCATTGTCATGAGTCCCAAACTGCCCTCCACAGTGGAATGGAAGAGAGCACGCTGAGCGTGAGCATCCCTTTTCAGTGCCCCAATGTGTTGAGTTGTCCTTTAGCGCACTTTCATCACAAGAATATGTAGTGACAGAAAATACTTTTAAATGAAGTAGTAATGAGTTCACATGCTTTGAAAAGCAGATATTTATGTGTCTTGGGACTTATTCAACTGAGAGATGATCCGTGTTACCTGGAATCTCAGCTGTTGTAACTCCAGGCCTGAAGGAGCTTTGAGGCTGGAGCCCCAGCCTCGCAGCTGTGTGGCAGCAACTTTGGTCACCTCTCTGGGCACAGTTTCCATTTCCAGGTCGCACTGGACCCTGACCCCACAAAGCTATCTCTGCAGGATGTTGGAGGAGACTGCCTCAGTCCTTGGGCCCGCAGCCCTGACCCTAACTCCCTGCCTTTCTCTTTCCTCCCATGCCCTTAGGCTTAGAGTTCTGCTTTGTTCCCTCCCCCAGGAGCTGCTGGAGCATGGAGTGTGTGAGGAGGTGGAGAGAGTTCAAGGCTCGGAGAGGTACCAGACCATGAAGGTGCGTTGGGCAGGGCTGGGACCTGTCCCGGGAATGTCCTGCCCTGGGAATGACAGCACGGTCCACACCATGTATGGGGAGGCAAGCTGGGGCAGCTGACCCAGCCCAAGGGTCAGAGAAGGTCTTGCTGAGGAAGTGGCAGCTAAGCTGATACCTGATATGCACAAGGCAGCCAAGTGGAGACAGGCAAGGAAGAAGCTTGTTTTGGGGACAGAATTTTCTAGATCACTCAGCACCATCTGGCTTTTGGGGGTTTTGTTTTTTTAATTTTGTTTTTGAGACAGGGTCTCGCTCTGTCGCCCGGGCTGGAGTATAGTGGTGTAATTACAGCTCACTGTAGCCTCAACTTCCTGGGCTCAAACCATCCTCCCACTTCCATCTTTGGAATAGCTGGGACTACAGGCATGTACCACCACACCAGACTAATGTTTTTAAAAAGAGTTTCTCGTCAAGATGGGCTCTTGGTAATGTTACCCAAGCTTGTCTCAAACCTCCATGCTCAAATGATTCTCCTGCCTTGGCCCCCAGTGTTGGGATTACAGGCGTAAGTCACTGCGATCTGCCTTGACTATTTTTGATGGAATGTTCTTAAGTAGATTACACACTGTGGCATCTTAAACAGAGCACACTGAGCCAAATGTACCCTTTGCTTGGGTGCTGCCACTGAGTGTGCTGGCCTTGCCCTTGCCCCCCTGCTGCAGGACCTTGTGTATGATTTTCTCAGTGTTGTCAGCCTGGCTGTCTCCAAGGCCATCTCCCCTCTGTTTCTGCTCACTCCTGATCCGATAGGAAATGCTGTCTGAGCTCTTTTGAATGCATTGGATGTGCCTGCTCTGACACCCTTCTGCCAACTGGCTTTGTAGCTGCAGATGTCACAGTGGTGGCCATGTGGATAACTGTCAGTGAAGTGTGGCTTCCTGGGTGGACGGGGCCATGGGAGGTCACACAGAATGTTGTCAGGATTGATAGGGAGGGCTTCAAAGAGGGGAGACTTGAGCAATGTGTGAATGATAAATGGGCTCAAATATGCAGGGAAAAGGGTAAGGGGCACTGGCAGGGACAGGGGACCAGATAAGCGTAACCACCGTGGTGAGTGTGGGAGTGAGGGGCCTGGAGAAGATGAGATGCCCTTAAAGTGGAGGGGGGTTAGTGAGTGCTTTCACTGTCAGCCCCAGACCGGAAGGCACCTCGACTGCCAGAAAATTACATTAGTAATTAGAAGTTTATTAACAATATAATTGGGTTAATCTCATCATTTTTAGTCGGGATTCTGTGGGTTATGAGTGATAGTGACCCACCCCACACCCTTGGTTTACAGAATCAAGGAAAGGAGGGCTAGCAGTGCCCAGGATGGGAGGGCTGTGGCCAGTCTGCAGGAGAACTGGGCTCAGCGACCTGGGTATCACCAGGCCACTCCTCCTCCCCTCTGCCTCTCTGCACTGTGGCTTTACCCTCTCTTGCCGTGCACCAGCTTCCTCCACCAGTTGGAAATGTGGCTATAAGAGGTGCTGGTGCTCGGCTGCCACAGGCTGCAGCCTCCACCACTGCGTGGGCCTGCTCGCAGTCTCAGATCCAGAATTCCTAGGGAGGGTCTCCTAGTGGCTGACCTGAAGCAGGTGACATGCTTGGCCTGGGGCCCACGCTGTGTGGGAAGATGTGTGAGTGCCCCAGCCAGCCCCAACCAGCCCCACCAGCCCCACCAGCCCCACTCCTAAATTTACCCTTTTGATTGTTAATTCCTCATTGTTTTTGCTCTTTGCTAAGGGGAACCACAAAAATTCATTCAAGTTGCTGTTAGGTGGGAAAGGCATGGTTTTTCCAAGCTTAGGAGCTGCTTGTGCTGATGTGTTAGGGTGACTGTTTTGGTTATGTTGGAATCACAGGCTAGAGCTGTGTAAGGCCTGGGAGAGACCTTTCATAGAGGAGAGCAGAGAGGTGTGTGTGGGTTTGCTCCCCAAGACGGCAGGCTGGGTAGCCAGGCTCCAGGTTTGAATCCTTGCCCTGTGGTCTAGGGCAGGTTGTGAGTGGGGACAGCGCCTGCCTGGTGCACGGTGGCTCCATGGGCCACACCATCCCGGAGCTGGTGGTCATCCAAGTCCAGCCATGAGAGCTCTGCCTGACCGGGCTGTGCGCCTTTCCCTACAGCTCTTCACCCAAGTCTTCGGGGTCGGTGTGAGGACTGCTGACCGGTGGTACCGGGAAGGACTGCGAACCCTGGATGACCTCCGAGAGCAGCCCCAGAAACTGACCCAGCAGCAGAAAGCAGGTGAGCCCTCCAGAGAGCCTGGGCCCTGGGCTTCCCCAAACTGCATCCTGGATCCCTGAGCACTGACTCCCTAGAAGCAAGAGAGCAGGCTGGCGCAGAGGGCTTGACGGCAGCCTTGTGTGGTGGGTTTCCTGGGGTCTCCAGGAAGTGCAGTCAGGACCTAGCACAGCCCTTTCTCAATGGATGATGCTGACCACAGCAACTGCCATGGCATGCCAGCGGCTTGTGTCACTACGTTACCTACTGGTTAGACTTTGTACCGGGGACAGCCTGGGCCTTGGGCACCCTGCCCAGAGGGTGCCTGGTACACAGAGGCCTACAGAGGTGGCACCATGCAGGGGAAAGAACATCAGCTTTCGAGTTTTCGGGTCTGAGTTCTGTCTACCATTTGCCAGATAGGTGACCGTTACCCAAGACTTAACCTCTCTGAGTATGTTACATTTTCTGTAAAAGGGAGAAGACAGGCTGGGCACGGTGACTCACACCTGTAATCCCAGCACTTTGGGAGGCTGAGGTGGGTGGATCGCTTGAGCTCAGGAGTTCAAGACAGTCTGGGCAACATGGTAAAACCCCACGTCTACAAGAACTACAAGAGTTAGCCAGGCATAAGGGTGGATTCCTGTAGTACCAGCTACTCATGAGGCCAAGATACAAGGATCACTTGAGCCCCGGAGGTCAAGCCTTGAGGCCAAGGTGGAAGTTGCAATGAGCTGAGATCAAGCCATTGCACTCCAGCCTGAGCAACATAGCAAGACCCTATCTCAAAAACAAAAAAAACAAGTGGGAAGTGACCGCATGGAATTCAGAAGCTCCCCTGTGAGAGCCAGCAAGTGGCAGGTGTTTAGCAAGTACTCTGCTCTCTCTGCATGGCCTGTCTGGCTACTCTGATCACACCATCTGAGACCTCCCTCGGGTTGAGGGCTCTGCTGAAGCAATCCCACAGCCCAGCAGGCACTGCCCGCTCCACTGCCTCTTCGCAGATCTCCCCCTGGGCCACTGCCCAGTTCAGCTGACAGGAAGTGAGACCCGCAGAGCTGGTTCCTCTTGATCGCCTCTCCCCACAACAAGAGTAGTCAGGGATGGCTGGCAGCGTTTACGGAGGGCTCACTGTGCCAGGTGCTGCTGTTCCTCACATTTAAACCTTTCCTTGGCCAGGCGCCATGGCTCATACCTTTATGTAATCCCAGCACTTTGGTAGGCTGAGGCAGGTGGATCACCCGAGGTCAGGAGTTCAAGGCCAGCCCAGACAACATGGTGAAACCCCATCTCTACTAAAAATACAAAAATTAGCTGGGTGTGGTGCGGGAACCCGTAATCCCAGCTACTCTAGAGGCTGAGGCAGGAGAATCACTTGAACCTGGGAGGTGGAGATTGCAGTGAGCCCGGATTGCGCCACCGCACTCCAGCCTGGGCAACAAGAGTGAGACCCCGTCATAAACAAACAAACAAACCTTTCCTTAACTGGATGTGGGAGGCTCATCGGTAAGGAGACAGAAGGAGGCCAGAGTGAGGTGTTCACAGTGGCAGAGCCGTCTTCCGTCTTTTCACCACCTCTTGGTCCCACTTTATGCACAAGAAAACTGAGGCATCAAAAGAGATGACCTGTGTCATGACTGTGTCAACATCAGTCTCCTTATATTTGGTTGCAAAATTATAGTTTTGCAAGGTGTTACCTTTTGGGGAGCTGGGTAAAAGGCACGTGGGATCTCCCTGTGCTATTTATTTTCTTTCTTTTGTTTGTTTCCACTATGTTGCCTAGGCTTGTCTCAAACTCCTGGGCACAAGTGATCCTCCTGCCTCAGCCTCCTGTGTAGCTGGGATTACAGGCGTGAGCCACTGTGCCCAGCCTCCCTGTGCTATTTCTTTTAACTGCAAGTGAATCTACAACTATCTCAAAATAAAAGTTTAATATTTAAAGGGGGAGAGAAGATAGTATCATGCTTAGATTGGGATCTCATTCTGCTCCCTGCCCTAGCCTCACCTTTGTCCGAAGCCTCTCCCAGTCCTGCAGCCCCAGGGTGACCACTTCATGCTGGTGAGGGGTGGGGGCTTGGCATGGTGGATGGGCTGGGTGAGTCAGAAGGGCTGGTGCTGCCCCCAGGGCTCCAGCACCACCAGGACCTGAGCACCCCAGTCCTGCGGTCCGATGTAGATGCCCTACAGCAGGCGGTGGAAGAAGCTGTGGGGCAGGCCATGCCTGGGGCCACTGTCACACTGACCGGTGGCTTCCGCAGGTAAGAAGGCCAGATGTGCCCCTCTGGCTTGGCATCAGACCCCTCCCCAGTGAAGGGACCTGAGTTGGGGACCCTGAAGCAGGCCTTCCCACTCATTGGAAGGGATGGAGTGAGCAAGCTGTGTCCTTGAGTCAAAGTTAGACCGGCCCCCGCAGGGGGAAGTTGCAGGGCCATGACGTGGACTTCCTCATCACCCACCCCAAGGAGGGCCAGGAGGCGGGGCTGCTGCCCAGAGTGATGCACCGCCTGCAGGACCAGGTGAGGGCCTCCCTGCTCCCCAAGAGCCACTGCTGGCCAATGCCACTGCTTCCTGCTCTCTCTATGCCACAGGGTGGTCTCAGCCACGCCCACCTCTCTCCACAGGGCCTCATCCTGTACCACCAGCACCAGCATAGTCGCTGGGAGTCCCCTACCCACCTGGCCCAGCAGAGCCACATGGATGCTTTTGAGAGGAGTTTCTGCATTTTCCGCCTACCACAACCTCCAGGGGCTGCTATGGGGGCATCCCCGAGGTCCTGCCCATCCTGGAAGGCTGTGAGGGTGGACTTGGTGGTTGTACCCATCAGCCAGTTCCCTTTCGCCCTGCTCGGCTGGACTGGCTCCAAGGTAGGCAGTGTGTTGCTGGGCCAACTTGTGGGGCAGGCCCAGGCCAGCCCTGCTGAGGACAATCCCTTTCCTGCAGCTTTTCCAGCGGGAGCTGCGCCGCTTCAGCCGGAAGGAGAAGGGCCTGTGGCTGAATAGCCATGGGCTGTTTGACCCAGAGCAGGTACATTGTTAGGGACTGGGGACAGGAAACAGCACCCATAGTCTGCTCCATGACCCACAATCTGAAATGGCCCCATACCCCACCTTCGTGCTGGGCTCTGCCTCTGCTCCAGCCTTCCTCCAGGGAAGCAGTCCTGGCCTAACTCCTAGGTCACAGAAGTCCTGCTTCTGTTGCAGAAGATGTTTTTCCATGCAGCTTCAGAGGAAGACATCTTCAGACACCTGGGCCTTGAGTACCTTCCTCCAGAGCAGAGAAACGCCTGAGCCTGCCTGTGGCCCCCACTTCTACTCAGGAAATTGGGCCACCCCCAACTTGGCCACTGAATGTCTCCAGGCAGATATGCTGCCCCCGACCCCTACCTTCACCCCTCCCAAGTGGAGGAGCCCCTCCCCACCAGGGCCTGGCTCTGCCAGAGGTCAGCTGTGCCTGAGGAAATCAGTTGAGCCCCTGCTGGTGTGCTGCAGGGGGGAGCTTTTGGTGCCAGCCTCATTGCTGTGTGACCTTGGGTCTGCTCTTAGCCTCCCCGTGGTTCACGTTCCTGCCCTGGACAGGGCGTGTGAGTGGGGCCCACTTTGTGGAGCCTTGGCAGAGCCCGTAGTCATGAATGGCAAGTGGTTTGTTTGCCTGATGTGCAGTGTCCCATCAGTTGCACTGCAGTTACTGTGGCTCCTGTAGGGCACCCTGTCCAGAAGTTCCCGGAAGAGAACGATGTGTCCCTGCGCTGCGTTTGAGCCATGACTTGGAGGCTGTGGTTCTTGCCCACAAGGAGCATACTGTGGAGTGTGCTGTAGGCATCTGGACAGGGAGAGGGACGGGGTAGGAGTTAGGAGGAAGAGAATTTTCAACTCTAGGGCTTCAGTACTGCAGTGCCCCAAGCCAGGCCCTGGGCTTCTGCCTTTAAGGCTTGTTCTCAGCACGATCTCTCAAAAATAGGTCATCTCCTGCCACTCCTGGCTCATTGCCCTTTAATGGCTCCAAACCCTAAGTCTGCATGTGGTCCTGGGCTCTGGCATTTCTGCCAGCCCCTTTCTCCAGCCCCACTGGCCCCGAGCTACTTCCTGCCTCTCACAGGCTTCCTGTTTGATGCACCCAGACTCCCTCCCCTTCTCACTGCAGAAGCACTGAGGTGGGCTGGACACGGGTGTCCTCCATGTCCCTCACATTCCCAGGCACGCTCTGGCCTCAGGCTTTGCCCTGGCCATGCCATCCACCCGGAGTGTGCCCTCCCCTTCTTCAGGCCTTAAATCAGAAGTCACTTTGTTAGGCGAGGACTTCCCAGACCACTCATTACATTAAAAAATACTTTAAAAATGAACACGCAGGAAGGTTGACTCTTTTGGGGTGCAGTTTTGCACGTGTGGGACACACCAGGTCCATCCCCAGAACACTTCTCTCACTGTCCTATTGTGGTCACATGGTTTTCCACCCCCACCCACTTAGCGGCTCTCCATCCCTATAGTTTTGCTTTGTCCAGAATGTCATGTAAATGGAACCAAACTATATTTTACCTTTGGAGTGGCCTCTCCACAGCCTAATGCCTTTGACGTTCCTGCAGTTTGCTGGGTGTATTGATAGTTTGTACTTTATTCCATGCCATGGGTGTTACACAGTTTATCCATTCAACTATTGAACGTCTGGGTTGTGGCTGGGCGCCGTGGCTCATACCTGTAATCCCAGCACTTTGGGAGGCTGAGGGGGGTGGATCACTTGAGGCCAGGAGTTTGAGACCAACCTGGCCAACATGGTGAAACTCTGTCTCTACAGAAAATACAAAAATTAACTGAGCATGTTGGCTCACACCTGTATTGCCAGCTACTCGGGAGGCTGAAACATAAGAATTGCTTGAACCTTGATGCCAAGGTTGCAGTGAGCTGAGATTGTGCCACTGCACTCCAGCCTGGGTGATGGAGACTCTGCCTAAAAAGAAAAAAGAATATCTGGGTTGTTTCCAGGATTTGGAGATTATGAATTGTACTTCTATAGACATGCAAGTACAGGTTTCTGTGTAACACATAGGTCTTCATTTCTCTTGGGTGAATAGCCAGACATAGGATTATTGGGTCATTTGGTAAGTACATGTTTATTTCATAAGAGCCAAGTTGTTGTCCACAGCGCCTTTGTCATTTTGCAGTCCACCAGCAGTGTGAGCACCCCTGTAAGTTAAACACTTCACAGTAGACAGTTGCTCTGTATCCCTGTCAGCACTTGATAGTTTCAGAATTTGTTAACTTTAGCTTTTCTAGTAGGTACATAGTAGTTCAGTGTGGTTTTATTTTGCATTTCCCTAATGCCTGACAATGTTGAGCATCTGTTCATGGGCTTCTACATCCTCACTGGTGAAGTGTCTGTTCAACTCTTTTTTTTTTTTTTGAGACAGAGTTTTGCTCTTGTTGCCCAAGCTGGAGTGCACCTACCAGCCTTGGGGGCCCTGGCAGCCCACAGGATTCTGCCCACTGGGACTTGTGTGCCAACCTTTGTGAAGCCTCAGCTTCACAGGCCCCAAGCCATGAGCCCCTCCCCAGATGGGCCAGCAGGAATGGATGGAGGCATGTCAAGGGTTTCTTGCATACTCGGATCCAAGTCTCGAGTGGTGGTCCCTCTGCTGGCCTCTCACCTACCCTCTCCTGCTATCACAAGTGTGGCAGGTGACAGTGTGGTCACTGGGGTGGGGTGGGAGGAAGTGGAAGGCCCTGGATAGGGCCCATGCCCAAGGGTCTGGCCAAGACCCCTTCGTTAGGGTCCCAACTGTGACTTTATTACTCATGGTCTCTTCCCTGCCTCAGTGGCCCTCATCCCCCAAACCTGAATGCAGAAGTCTTGGTCCTGAGTTAAACTCCATGCCACCCCTCCGCTTATGTTGTGGGTTCCTGCTAAGCTGAGCACTTACCTAACAATCAAGACCTCTGATAGTCCTCAGTCCTACCCCGCAACCTTGCCCTTGGATTTCTCTTTTTCAAGGTGGTTTCAGCTAGGAGGATCAGCGTGGTTTGGGTGAGGGCAGACAGGGTAGGAGCATGTGGCAGGTATGGATGACACCTTGACAAAGGGACCCCACAGGAGAGATGGGGACCCTTTCCCCCCATTGTCCTGGAAACCCAGCTCAGCCCCAGCCCTTGCCCATGCTGCTGCCTGGTACCTTCTACAAAGCCAGACCCCTCCCCGCAAAGCTGTGGCCTGCACCAGCTCCCCTAGCTCTCCTCCTCTGTCTGCTGAGGGGCCCCTCCCAACCTGGCTGCCAGTCACAGGAGAAAGGGGTTGGGATTTTGTTTGTGCCTCTGCCTGAGCATAGAAGGACTGACTGGGTCACTGAGCCTTGCCCTGGAGAGACCCTCTGTCCCCTGCTGCCCCCACCTCCCCTGGCCCAGACTTCTGCCCATAATGCCCATCCCTGAGCAGCAGCCCTACCCAGGCTGGGCTCTGGGTGCCAGCTGGTTATGGACATGCCACCTGAGCCCAGGCCAGGAGCCCCTGGATTCATGAGGCTATTTTAAGCACATCTTCTTGGCCAGCACTCCCCTGGCCCCCAGAAGCTCAGCCACTGGTCATCTGCCACCGCCTAGAATGCTGATTGGCAGTTGGCTGGGGTGGGGGCTGGGAAAACACTGTTATAAAGCTGGGAGTGTTGGGGAACAGCCGTCCCTGTCCAGAGTCCTCTGTAGTCCCTGCTGCCACCATGGCCACCCACCGCCTCGTGATGGTCCGGCACGGTGAGAGTACTTGGAATCAGGAGAACCGTTTCTGTGGCTGGTTTGATGCAGAGCTGAGTGAGAAGGGGGCTGAGGAGGCCAAGCGGGGAGCCAAGGCCATCAAGGACGCCAAGATAGAGTTTGACATCTGCTACACGTCGGTGCTGAAGCGGGCCATCCGCACCCTCTGGGCCATCCTGGACATCACGGACCAGATGTGGCTGCCTGTGGTCCGCACTTGGCGCCTCAATGAGCGGCACTATGGGGGCCTTACGGGCCTCAACAAGGCGGAAACAGCTGCCAAGCATGGAGAAGAGCAGGTGAAGATCTGGAGGCGCTCCTTCGACATCCCACCGCCCCCCATGGACGACAAACACCCCTACTACAACTCCATTAGCAAGGTGGGCTGCCTCCACTGGGACGGCCTCTGGGAGGCTGTGGGGTGGGGAGTCGGGCGGGGGTCCACTGCCTCGGGAGGGAAAGCAGTGTGCCTGTGTTCTCCAGGAGCGTCGGTACGCAGGCTTGAAGCCTGGGGAACTGCCCACCTGCGAAAGCCTCAAGGACACCATTGCTAGGGCCCTGCCCTTCTGGAATGAGGAGATCGTTCCCCAGATCAAGGCCGGCAAGCGAGTGCTCATCGCAGCCCATGGGAACAGTCTGCGGGGCATTGTCAAGCACCTGGAAGGTGAGGCCGCCCTTGGGAACCCAGGCAGGGCGGGTAGGCAGCAGCCCTGGCTGGCTTCTCATCTCAGCAAATGCTCCTGCTGGCCCAGGCCACTCTCTAGGCGTGGGGTTCCATACTGTTCACTGAAAAGGGAGGGCTGAGAAGCCATTTTTTAGTGCTATGAAACTTTCCTCATTTCTGTATAACTGGGACGTACTCCGCAGGGGCTGACTGCACTTGAAACTCGCTGTGTCCCGAGGCAGGGCAGGCTCCAAAGGTGGCATCTGCCCAGGGCCACCCAGCCAGGAAATGGAAGGGCTGGGCTTAGTGCATCTGGCTCCAAATCCCAACTTTCCGTGGGGCCCTGGACAAGCCACTTCCATCTCTGGGCCCCTACCTTTTCTGGGGTAGCAGGGAGCTCCCAGGACTCCCCCTGGTACTGCCTCTTGATGTAGGCTTGAACCTCTCGCAGGGCCCTCCCCCATCAGGTCCTCAGAATTCCTGCATGAGCCCCACCACCCATCTCCCTCTGGACTCCCTCTCTGGGCAAAGGAAAGACCAATCAAAAGCAGGGTGAGAGACTTTGGCGTGGCCAGACTCCAGGCTTAGAGCTGGGGCTCCCACTGAAGAGCAAGGGACAAATGGGCCCAGGATGCATGGGTATAGGGTGGCCTCGCCCACAGTGACAGGCACCTCCACTCTGCCTCCCACCTTCGTATTCTCAAACGGCAGGGCAGTCTAAATTAGCATCTTAATGCCCTTCAAGCTTGTCGAGTCCTGGAAAGGCTAGAAGGGTGTGCCCCAAACCTTCTGCTCCTGGGGCCAATGGGCAGCTGACCAGGGCACCCAGATCGGCAGGTCCTGGAGACCGGGCCAGCCCCAAGCCTGCCTGCTGCACACATGGACGCCTGGCACCCAGCACTGGAGCCAGGCAGAGGGAAGGACCACCTGCCTCTTCTCCCTTTTGGGGGCTTCATGCAGCCCGATGGCCCTCCCACAGCTTGATATTTTGGTGGTGAATGTGAAGGGATTTCAGTGGAGTGGAGGAGCCAGACTCCCCAGAGAACATTCTCTTAAACCCTCCTGCACGGAGCGGGGGTGGAGTGGTGCGAATACCAAAGGTCGAGCTGCTATTCCCAGCTCGGGGGCTGCAGGAGGCAGGCAGGGTCGGGTTTCGGACCAGGCACTGCCTCCCTCCTCCTCCTCCAGCTCCACTGGGCACTTGCTCCTCTGTTCAGGATGTCTAGAATTTAGAGCACTTTAGAAACTAAAGGGCGAATGTCCTTCCTGACCCTCAACTTCAGTCTGGCTGGAGTCACACTGGGCTGAGGGGACTGTGGACGGCACCACCACAGTCACAGCCACTTGAGTGGGACTAAAGTCACCATTTCTTTCGCCACTGGGCTATTTCTGTAGGCTGCTTGGTCTAACTCAGTTACGCCTTGACCTTTAGGGACACTTCTGTGGCCTCGCTCTCAGGGCTAGGAGGGTTGGTGCCAGGGGAACTGGCTCTGTGGCCCATAAATGTCACAGTGTCTGCTGTGTGAACAGGCTGGGTACAGAGGAGCTAAGGACACCTGTTCCTCCGGCACAGGGATGTCAGACCAGGCGATCATGGAGCTGAACCTGCCCACAGGGATCCCCATTGTGTATGAGCTGAACAACGAGCTGAAGCCCACCAAGCCCATGCAGTTCCTGGGTGACGAGGAAACGGTGCGGAAGGCCATGGAGGCTGTGGCTGCCCAGGGCAAGGCCAAGTGAGGGGTGGGCTTGGGCAATAAAGGCACCTCCTCCCACAGCCTGGAGTGCAGCGCAGCCGGCATGCCAGGCTCACCCACTATCAGCTGTGGGGACTCCAGAACAAGGGGTGCAGCCATCCACCCTCCCCCACTCCATGCCTGTGTCACCAGGGGCATGAGCCTAGTTAGTACCCACCCCTAGTCATCAGGACACTGAGCCAGGGCTGCAGCCACTCCATGAGTTTGCAGTCAGCACAAGCCCGTGGTGACCCTCAACCTTCAGAGCTTCTTGGTAACCATACTGTAGAACTGGCATGCTTGGGGCCCGTTAGAGAGAAGAGGCCAAGTAACCCAGCCCTCCCCATGGGGAGCAAGGACCACAGCCAGGGCACGGCTTCCCAGGTAACTTCCTGCAGAGGACAGGTGGTCCTCTGCTGTCCCTGCAACCCAGGGTAGCACTTGGGGCCCTGCCTCCTGGGTGGGGACAGGCAAGCCCACAGGGGGCCTCAAAGCTGGCAACAGCCCAAACCTGGGTCTTCCATGGGAGTGGAAAGGAAGTCCCTCTTCATGGGAGAGGCACCAGGAAGCCCTGGCAAAAAGGGGAAAGCACAAGAAGGCCGGGAGCAGGGTTGGGCTCCATGCAGCCTTCACCCCAGGCACCAGCAGGTGACACTGCGAGTCAAGCATGTCCGCCTAGCAGCCCTGGGGCCCAGAGGAACCTAATTCCCTGGATGCTCCGTGGGTGCCAGGTACCTCACACCACACATAGCATGCCATCCCATGTAGGCAGAGGATCCCTGAGGCGCAGAGAAGGGCAGACCTTGGCCTCTCCCAGAGAAAATGGAAGGCAGGAAGGCTCCAACTTCAGTCCCATCTTAACATTTATGCTTCTTCCTGGTGGCTGATCAGCCGCAGTCTCAGGGTGAGGGCGCTTACCCCAGACACAGAGCAGAGGCAGACACCTGGCAGGCGGGGCGCAAGTGGGGGGGCTGTTCCCACATAGGAGCCTTCAGGCTACAGGAGGGTGGGTCACAGCTGTGAGCCTGTGTAGACCAAACTGGCAATTCATGGGCCAAAAGCATATTTGTTCTTCAGAGACATGGATGAACTGGGACAGAAAAAGGGGAAGACAACAGGCCAAGGCCACTCTGTGTTACTGTTCCTGAAGTCAGAATCAGTTGAGGCACACACTGGAGCCAGCAGGCATCGAGTGAGCCACGTGGAGGAACACGTTGTGTCTGCTGTTTTCAATACCCAGGGTGGGAGCTTGGCCATTCCCACAGCCCAGGCAGAGGGACAGAGAAATGGAGTGGGGAGCACAGAGCAGGCTCCAACAAGACAACCTCCCTGCTGCCAAACCACCATGATCCACTCTTACTTTGGTCACAAACTCTGCTAAAACAATTCTTTAAGTTCGCTGTTCCCAAGGGTCATTCTAAACTGTGGTGGCCACCACCCCTTAGAAGCAAGAGAAAAAGAAAAAGGCAAATAAATGCAAAAGGCAGCCAGAGCCTCCCAGATGGCCCTGCTCAGGATCCATCACCCCAGCTTGGTGGTGGCCACTCAGAGGTCACCAGAGGGCTGGCCACAGGTGGAGCTTGGCTCAATGTCCTGTCAGAGGCAAGAGCCAAGCTCTCTGGGAGGGTTGGGAGGATGCAGGAAGGATGTTTTGGAATCACCAGGTCATTGCTGCATTTGTGACAAGCAGAGTCTGCCAAGCCAGAGGGAGCCCTGAGGCCCCATCCTCACTGGGGTTCCCATTCTTGAAAGAATGCCAACTCCCAGGCCTCCTCTTCCAGCAAGAAGGAAGCCAGGTCTGAGAGGGAAAAGGCAAGACGTGCCCTCGGCCTCACTCAATGAGCTCCACGTAGTTGGCAGGGAACATGCCAAAGTGGCCATCCGGCCCATAGCCACGCCACCAGCCTTCGTCGATCACCTCGATGCCCGTGATGAGGTTCTCAGGGTCAAAGGAAATTTCTGTATCGTCGGCTGCAAAGAGGATGAGCCCAGATGCACGTCAGGGGCTCCCTCCCACATCCTACCTGCTCAGGCAGCCCCACCCTCCTGCAGTACAGCTCCCTGTGGCTCTGGTTCCCCTCAGAAACACCCCTGCTACCCTGCTAAGCTTTGGCCAACACTGCACCCTGTCCCAGTGCAGCTCTGGTGACCACACCCCCAGGGCACACCCTCCTACAGAGCATTCCTGAAAAAGGCTAGACACCTGCCAGCCTGCTCCGTGGGGAGCCTCTGCTCCATTCTCCAAGGTCTCCACCCAGGGATGCCTGAGGAACCAGCATCCAGGCCTGGCCCACCTCCCTGTTCAGACTCCATGTTCTATGACAAGGATGGCAACCGGGATTCACATCAGCGGCCAGCAAGTAGCTACAAGGAGCACATGGGGAGGCCTGGGCTGTGCAGGATACTCCAGAGGTGCTTCTACCTCCAAACACACCGCCCACCCTCCTGTCTTCTCTTCCTGACACCCCCTGGAGCCATCCTCCCATAAAACCCCAGACCCTCTTGTCTCCTAACCTTAGGACCTTGTGGTCCATGCCAGCCAGGCCAGGGCACCTTACCTGCCTGGTAGTCATACAGGGCACGAGCACAGAGCCCTTGCCCACTCAGCCCCTGGCCCTGCATGTGGTGGTCAGTGTGCTCAGAGCCGGCACCTTGCTGCTGCACCTGCCCAGGGATGACAAAGGTGTTACCCCAGACTTAGCCCTTACAGCCAATCGCTGCTCTGTCCCACATGGCTCAGTTCAAGCTGGGAGTACGCAGAGGGCAGGCAGTCTACAGGCTCGAGGGCTGCTGCTGTCCCCACCCTACCAGAGTACAGAAGCCACAGGCAGTGCACAAATCCCCCAGCCATGGGCCACAAGGCCCTCTCCCCACCCAGCACCTCCTACAAACTTGTGCTTGCTCTGACAACTTATAGCACAGGGCTGCTCCAAAAATGCATGTGCTTTAAAACCTGGGATCTGGGGACCATGCCCCCAGAAAACTCAGGCGCCCCGTGATAAGTGTTTCTGAGTACGCAGCCCCTTCCTGGCCCCAGCCCCACTGCAGAAACCCACCAGTGGGGGCTCCTCGTAGAAGGTCTCCTGCTCCGGGGGTTCCTCATACACAGCCTCCTCTTCTGCTTGCACCAGACATGCAGGAGTTTGGGGCACCGGCTCCTCATGGAAATCTGCACCAGGGAACACAGTAGGTTCTCACTCCCACACATCCCCCTTCTCCACCACTGTCCTCCAGGGTCCCCATGGAGTGACAAGCGCCTTGCCTGCCCTGGGCCTTGAGACGGTGGCAGCTGGCTCTCTGCTGAAGTGGGTCTCTGGTTGGGTGAGCTGCTTTTGCAGGAAGGGGCTCCTCAGCTTGCCTGCAAACCCAGGTAAACACATGACATCACTTCAGAAACACTACCTGCTGAAACACACACACACACACCCTCCACACTCCAACCTGGTGTACTCAGGGCAGTCTCAAGGAGCTTGCCCAGGCTAGTGCAGGTACATACCCCAGGACTATGTGTTATTTGGTGACCTGGTAGACAGTGCAGCCCAGTATCTTTTGGAGGCCAAACTGGTGACCAGCGTAGTCACTGATGAGGTCAAGGGCCCCAAGTGTGCCTCCTCCTCACTCACTCAACCCTGTCACCGATACATCTGTCACTAGGCTCGGGGGAGCCCACATATGACCCCAGGCTCCCCCTCAGCCTGCTGTTGCCTTGTGGCCAGGCCTAGAGGGAGGTCTCACCCGGCTGAGGACTGGAGATGGAGGTGGTGGACATGGCCCTCTCCTTCTGCTTGAAAATCTCCCGTGGGTGCACAGCAGACTCCTGCGGGGAAGCACATGTCATCCCCTGCAGTGGGAGAAACTTTCACCGCTTCTCCCCAGATCACAGCCGCTCTAGCTGTTGGCCGGGTAGCCCCTCAAAGGTGAGTGTGGGGCCAAGAGGCAAAACATGTCCTCAGGTGAAAAGTCATTTAAAAATAAAAAGTAATTTTAAAAAAGAAAGTAAAATACAGAAACCGAGGGGTTCACAGGGCCTCCCCTGGGACCAGGTGCGGTCCATGCCGGAAGCTTTCCCCCTTGGCTTTCCTCTCTTGAGGTGCCCAGATGTCAATCTGCCCTAGCTGAGAGTAGGGTGGCCTCTGCCCAGGTCTGGGCTAGGGCCTCAGTCTGAGATCAGGGACTTCCGTGTGTGGCCAGGACAGGCCCAAACAAGTAGAGCACCCCCATCTTACCTGCTCATCTCTGTTCCTTGAAACCACTTCTTGCTGCTGCTCCCATGTCCTGCTGGGAAGGGCCGGGTGGGGCACAGCTGAGGGACAGCCACACTGCACCTCGCGCCATACTGCTCAGTCCTCCTCGCATCCGCGGGATAGAGTAGGTGCCCAGCAATGCCCTGGGGTGGGTTCCCCAGTCCAGCCCCCACCTCTGTCTCACCTCTGGGGGCTGGCCTCGCCACCCTGCTCCTGATAGCGCTGCTCCCGGCGTGCAGCCTCACGCAGCTCACGCTCCCGGCGCTCCTGCTCCAGCTGCCGCTGTGCCTCCTCAGCCCGCCGCTTTTCCTCCAGCCGACGGTTCTCTTCCTCCTTCTGTGGGGAGAGCCACTGCCCATTCAGCCCTGTGCTAACACTTTAGCCTCATCCCCTGTCCATGACTGGGTTTTAGGCACATAGCCAAAGGCGGGCAACAGAGCCAGTCACTCATTAGCCTTGTGCCTTAACCTACCCGAGCCTCAGTATGACCATCTGTAATGGGCACCAAGGAGTGCAGACGCTGCACAAGCTCGCTTGCGAGGAAAGCTAAGCCACAGCAGGCAGAACACTCCCACGTGCCTGGCACGCCCGGGGAAGCACTCACCTCTGCTTTGGCCCAGAAGCTGTCTTTACCAACCCTTTTAATCTCAGACACAGCATTGGTCTTCTGGTATACAGAGCCCTGCAGGGGACAGCATTCATTAGAGACCTGAACCCAGGTGGAAGCCCAGGCCCACAGGCACCAGAGGAAAGAATTCACTAAACTCGCAACAGCACAGGTGAGGACTGCCAGGACT